CCTGATCAGCGTTGGACCCAGGGTTCCCGCAGCGAAAAAAGTCGCATGCGAAAAGCGGATAAGTCGCTTTCTGTCCTAGCGAACCACATCCATCCATCAAGGAATGTGTCTAACTTGCACTCTCTCTCCAGAGGAAGAAGTGGTGCATAGTGACCGCTAGTGGGGCAAGTCGGGGAGAGTTGTATCTGAAATTTTTCGCCACTCCACTTGATTTGGGGTAAAATGCGAATGTGCCAACACTGGTTAAGACAAAATACTCGCATAGGCATTAGCGCGACCATCTTCAACGATTTGTACATGCAACGTTTAACTACGTTGCCACACAGGTCGCAGTTCTTATTGGGTTGTTCACGCTCTTCCAAGGAGCAGTTTTTGCCGAGCTTCACGAATCAGCCCTGCGCTGCGCGCTACCCCTTTGAAGCCCTTGTCACAAGGGGCGGCGCAAAAAGGCGCCAGGACACCTTGGATCACCGAATTCGCTGGAAACTTGTCGTCAACGGTAATTTGAAGCGTAGAACATGAATATAACATCAGTTCATTGCGATGTTTTGGCTGGGGCTGTGTGGAGAATCACTGAGTGCAACAAAATTTTCCGACCAAAATATTCTTTTTCAGGGAACATACCTTTCTGAAGTCATAGCTTTCTGGTCGTTTAGAGCCTGTCGTCCGTGTAAATGGATTTGAGCGGCGCTATCCTTTGCGCGAAAAACGACCTTGTGAGAAGACAGTTCGGGAAAGGGCGATTTCACAAGTGCCGTAAAGTCTCAACGCAGAAAGGAGCTTAGCATAGCACTTTGTCACGGAGGAGTAACTATGAAGGAGGACAAGAGAAAAGAGACGGTAAAGAGAATAGAACGGGTAAGCTGAAACCGGTAGGCTTATACTGAAAAGATGATACTATTTCAGATGATGTTACCAAGTGTGGCTCCCAAGAACAACAAAGGCGCTTCCGACAGTTGAGGCACACCTCACGATCACACTGCTGTGCTCCTAGCACTCAAAAATGGAGCGATGCGAAATAGATAGGCAGTAAAGAAAAAGAGAACAATCGGTTGAAAACGCTGAAGGACCTGCTCATTCCTCTGCTGAGCCAACAAGGGACTCAGCGCGATGGGATGAACATGAGCGAGAGAGCACAACGGATGAGAGGGCACAAAGGCGAGCATGACGCGGACGAGAAGAGAATGGAAGCGCTCGAAGCGGCCTTGGGAAACCTCTAGCGCTCTTGTCGCGCATTTTTGAGCCGGGAGAAAGAAATATTCACTATCTTCAAAAACAGCTCCGTCCTATTCAGCAAAAGGACATTAACCTGAACTCATACTGGGTTGTGCCTTTGAGTAGAAGAATGTCAATAAGGATTTGCAAGGCGTAGAACAAGTCGAGACATTCTTACATCAGCAAATTAGTTCAGTTTCAAAAGTAGTGAAGCTGAGCTGGGAAAAACCCGCGGACTTCATTTGAAAAAAAAAGAACAAAAACAAGAAAAATACATTAGAACAGATTTTCACATCAACATTTCAAATATTAAAATTTTATAATATAGCATGCATTGAATCATTCAACTAGTGAAAACTATTAATGATTTCCCACAATATAATTTGCATCGAATTCTGAAGCTATGTGAAGAGTAACGCGCCCGAATGTAACATCAAGGCAATGAGAAACTATGGTACAAGTTATTTACAATACTTAAACTCTGACAAGAGGTCTTGACACGTGCAAGGCAAGTAGAGCGATATTCGATGCTCACAAACACTTCAATAATACAACTCAAAAATACTGCTACATAACTATATTTACTTTGAAATCAAACACGAAACAACTGTGCGATCACCTTCCGCTACGTCAGATCTTGGACTGGCAGTGGTGGGATCGGATCATTTATCCACAGCCCCTGAAATTAATCATATATCAATGCATAGCGACTAGTCGGTAAATTACAACAATACTTCATTAAAGCTTAAAACCCCGCAAAATACACATATTAGGGCGCGGGCTAGGATATGAGGGCTACCAGGGCGCGGGCTAGGATATGAGGACTACCGCGTCATACATAACCTCCCCTTCAAAAAGCGAGAAAGTGTCGGGTGCAGACCAAACACCACAACTGACGACGGCCTCCAAGTAAATCTGGTTAGAAGTTGTTCATAGTGATAGCTGATTTCTGGTAAATGATAGTTGTAATTAGTGACAATCGATAGAATACAACTGCAACAGGCTAATCATTTCATTGGCAGAAAACATTAACATTTTGTGAAGGCCGTCGTCACTTGTGGTGCATGGTCTGCACCCGACACTTTCTCGCTTTTTGAAGGGGAGGGTAGGTGGCGCAGTGCGCGCACCATGTAGACTACGAGCTGCAACGAAGCATAATGCAGGGTCCACCGTCTATTGATAATTTTCCAAAGAGGAGATCGTATTTATGATTTTTTTGAAAAGAATCTATTTTTAAAGGTACGGATCGCGATTAGATTTTCAGAGAAATTCTTCCCTTGAGTGAGGTAGCAGGGCCCCTAATCACAGGAGTGATAGTGTCGGGAAGACAAAGTGCGCGTCTAGAAAGCTAATGCCTCCGCTGCCTTGCCACTGCTGCCATTCAGATCATAGTGGCATACGTGGTGTCTGCGCCCTCTTGCCTACGACGTGCTCTCTCACGTGTTCGCTCTCCTCGAAGCGCTGTGTCTCTTCGTATAACACAGACGACCTCACAATGAAAATTTCACTGTTCATTGAACTTTCTACTTTTTCCTGTCTAACGTTTCTCATCGCGCTTCTTGTCTAATTCCGAACGAAATAGCTCACCCAATTCGATCGCGACCTGTACCTTTAAGGCTGAAGGAAATTTTCAACAAAGGTCGTGAATTGAACGAGAACGGGCGAATTTGCTATTCAAGGAGCTCTTGACGACCTTTAGACCATAATCGGAGCGCGTCTGAGTTCATCAGTATGCAAGGATGTCCCCTCGGAAGTTATCAAAATATTGGGCTGTCTGGAAAGTCTCCCTTATTTTTGGTAGTTCTAACTAAATGCCTTAGTTCTGAATTGGTTACTAGCAAATTGCTGAAACTTTACATATCTTTTTGAAGTGCATCTCGGTCTATCCACGGTTTTGCCATTTTTGTTCTAAAGTGCTTGTTGCCGCAGCAGAAGCGACAGTTTTCAGAGTTGACGCGGGAGCAGCGCAAGAGTCCTGCCGTGCGGCGAAGGTGCAGGGGCGAGGCGGCCGAGTTGTCGTGCTGCTGAGACGCAGAGGTTGATGGCACTGTCCGTTTCGAGTGGTCGTGTCACAGGACTTTCCGAATAAGGAATGGTTCCATGAGGCGACCCTTCAAACCCTCCTCAGCAGGTCCGAAAAGTTGGTCAGCTCGGCTCTTTTCTTCGCTGCGGGGCAGCCTTCTCACATCACCGCTGTTTGCTTGAGAGACTCCCTCGTTGCACAAAATGCGGAAAGCACGCAAATGGGAGGCAAACGCACGTGGATGACCTACGACATTGCGCGAACCAGCGAACAACGTGGGTTACGGTGGCCCTTTGCGGACCTAATGAAGTCATCTTATTCCCTAAGAATTTCGAATACCCAAGCTACGGTTGACCCTGATGTTTGTTCAAATACGAGCTCGAACGCCATAAAAAAAACTTAGCAAAACGAAG